GTGCAATGCGGCTTAGATAACGGTGTTTGAACATTGACGATCTGGTTTCATCCTATTTCACTGTAGAACAATATTGGCTCAAATACTGCATTATATACGCGACCCTTCACAGACATCGTTTGACGGGTTGTCAATTAAAACAGGGAGCATTGAGTATCAACTGGAAAACGTAGGGAAACGGGTAACAAAGAACATCGGTCAGGGAGAACAATTATCTGTGTATTTCGCCATATTTTTTTATGTTCCAGTTATCCGTATCTCGATCGTTTTCACATTCTCCAGCTCGCATATACGTGGATGACAATACGGATAACTCAATGATGAATCTAAGTGATATAAGAACGATTCAGAAGTTAATTGATACCGCTTTGTTGCGCTTCGCGGCTGATCGAACTGGGTTGGCGGATTTCGCTCTGGAGTCTTCCGGTGGCGCAATTGTGGGAACACGATGTACACGGACATATACAGAAGGTTCCTCATTGTTCAGCTTATTTGGCATTCCGTTGGCAAGATTAAGCAATTCCCCCAGGTGAGAGAGTGATATCCTTTGGCTTCATTTATTCATTATCTTGAATATAGAAGCCAAAAACAGGTTTGCACAATGTATTCCGGATTATTACGCTGCATCTGTACACGCGCATACTTCAGTCTATGTGATCAATAATATATGGTCAGTAAATAACAAAATCATATCAATGATAAATGAACGGTAATATAAGTTGAAAAATTTGTAATGAGCAGTAGATGCGCTTTGGATGATGGATAATGTAGATGAAGATGGTATAAACTGCCAATATTCTTCTGATGTGATGTGTGCTGTATTTCTTTCCAGCTTTTTTCCCTACATGATAAACAATTCAATAATGATAAAAAAGATCTTCACGCTATTTAAGTGCAATTTTGGTTATCATCATTGAGAATAAATTTGAACTGGAATGTCAGTTTGGCCAATTTAGCTCACGCTTAATTTTCTTTGGTCAAGCTGCTGGCGAATGGGCGGTCCTGAGACCCGAATAGACGATGATCTGTATCTCAGGGGAACTCCGTTTATCATCCTGTCTGCAGTAAAACACGCGCTGAGCAATCTTTCACTATTCCCTATTTTTTATGTTCTAGAACAATCCTACAGCCGGGTAATAATCCAGGCGATTGTTGGCCATTTCATGGTAGTACCGGTCAGGCTGTTATCCGTTTGTCCGCTCCGGTTATCATCTCTGCTGTTTCTCTGGAACACCTCCCGCGGTCGCTTGCTCCCAATCAGCGTCTAGACTCCGCTCCGAAAGATTTCGTGATCAAGGTGGGTTTTCTATCTCTTTTTAATTATATACTTCAATATAAATTTCAAACCCCCAGTATCTCCAATGTTGGGTTTGGCCCACCAAGAAATACTCCTGTGGAGTTTGACTCCTTTGTCTACCGGGAATCCTCAAACTAGCTTGTCGTGTTCGTAATGTTTCACTCACGTGAAAGGGCGAGATACCATCATTTGGGGTCATAGTCTTGTTTATGAGCCGGTGACAACTTGCTCATCTAAATGTGCTGAAAGACCCCAATTCCAAACCTCCCAAAAAGAGGCTTGTTAACGGGTCGTGATAGTCACCAATTAGATTGGAGTATGGAGTGTTTTGTACACTCTAGATGTGTGCACCACACCGGAATGGCTTACAGTCCTCAGTGAATCGCGATTTTCACTTATCGCCGAGCTGCCTTGCGGATCAGGCTTTACAGAGCCGAAGGCTCTGGTTGCATACACTAAGGAGATTTACCTGCTTTGGCCTGGGAAATCTGACAGTACTACGCCAGCATTGGTTTGTTTGTAACAAATATAGTATAATATAAAAATATAGAAATACGAATAGCCCTAGTTGTCAAACGGTATTTTTGTTTACATTGAGGACACTTGCTGAGATTGCCTCTAATCCAGCTTGGTGATATACACGACTAAATGGGAAAATACATTTACTCAGTACAGTTTATTTATGTTTTGGCGATATTTTGTTCTTAATTTTTCTTTGGTTAAAATTTGTCCTCTTAGGGATTGCAATCAGAAAACGATGAAGAAGGCGTTGTTTTGGGTAATTTCACGTACAGCATCGATGGGCCACCTATACAGACCTTTACCATCCATGTGAGTCCCATGTTTCCGCTTTTCCCTGTGTGCCCTAGTTCATGAAGATTAAAGAATGTTTGATCGGTTCAGAACTGAAATATTTTCCCGCTCATTCTTTCGAATATTTGACAAGTGCAAAGGGTTAAGTTTAGCCATTACATAGTTGTTGGGTTTCGTGACGAAAGAAATGGTTATGTTCTGCGAGTATGGCGGACAAAATTGTCCAACCAAAGGAGTGCTCCTGTTGTAATTAAATAAGGTTCAGGCTCTCCAGATGCACTTATCGGCTTCAGGCTTGACTGAAACGTTGATAGATGACCTCGCCTATCTCGTGCACTATCGTATGTACCACGTCAGTCACCAAATTCGTTCATCTTCCTCCTCCCCCTCGACTCGTGACCGTTGTTCCTGACCTAATGTGGTCTGACTCACCCTACCCTCCGATTCAGTTTCAGTTTGAACAACCATTAACGACGCATATTCGAGCGCCGGTTTTGGTTGCTGTCTTTTGGCTGCCCATTTGGATGAAGAATAGGAGAAGAAAGGAAAGTTGAAAGTGGAGTCGATTATCGTATCGAGTTGATTAATCTTATTCGATTTGGTCCTTATCCATGCATCGCACTGACATATGTGCATCTGTGCGTTATGACATTCCACTTATCGCTTGATGGAGTGGTGAACTCCCTCGTATACACTTCGGTTCTCGATTGATATTATCCACTCCACCGGTTCAGGCATATCCCATGGGAACACCAAGATTCGAGGTGTTGTTTATGCAGTTGTACCGCTTTATTTTTATAGTACCTTATTATTGTCCGCTATTGTTTTTTAGTCGAATAAACCCCGAGAATAGTCGGACTTGGCATCTGAGGTTGCGGGTCACTGAACGTTGTCCTAGGTATTTGTATGTTTCGCCCTACTTCGGACTCGTCAGCAGTGCCCCTGTCACGGCTGGAACGGCGAAAATTCGGGTCGGG